ATAGCTTGGCCCAAAGGCTGAGTGGTACCAGACGGGTGCTCAGCTCAAGGTGAGGCGGGTATGCTGTGGACAGCTTTGGCACCCATGGCAATGACCTGCTGGGTGCTTTGATGCCAGGTTGCTGTCCTTGCAGGGTTTTGAGCTTGCGAATGAGTTCAACCCCAATCCCCAAGAACGACCTTCCAGGCAGAAAGGAGAGGATGGGGCCCTGGGATTCAAGCTCCCCTGGCTTCCAAGTCCTAAGACAGTTTGTGACTCGGGCAGCAGGTACCAGGTATCACACCTGCAGAGTGACCACACATAAGCACAAAGAACCAACAGCCCACAGCAGTCCTACCTAGCTTCGCACACCAAAAATCCCACACTTGCATCTTAAATCACTTTGATTTTTCCCATTTCAAGGCTGAACTCTGCTGCAAAACAAAATAATAGCAAAAATATTTTTTAGGTAATTTAATCCAAATTTCCTCTACAGCAAATGTGAACTGGGGTGACTTTTGCCACCTTGAATGTAACTAGGTCATCAGTGCATGAGGCCCTGTGGAGCAACACCCCTGTAATGGAGCCACTCAGAGGCTGTTTGGTGGCCTATGCTGATGAGCCCAAGGAGCAGACGTCACCAAAAACACTGAGAAGCATCATTTCACGAAATCTCGAGAAATCACTCTCCTGCTTTCAGGTCTCATGGGTGTCCCTGTGGCCTCCAGGGTTGAGGCCCAGGGATGTGAGAGAGGCAGGGTCTGAACACCACGGCTGTAAGTCTTCTGTGTTGACTGCCGTCATGGGACACCTGAGACTGTCTTCTCTGTGAAATCCTAGCTCTGCTCCTGAACTCACAGGTCAGGGCCTGCTCTTCTGGAGCCCAGAGGAATCCTGGTCCATGCTCACCTCCACACGTGGCTAAGGCCCCTTGCCCTTTGCTGCAAGGTCCCCTGTTTCTGCCTCCATCACACTGTCACCTCTGAGGCCCTGTGCCTGTGACTCAGCTCCCACAGTCCTCCTGCTCCTCCTGCCCCTGAGTCACCTGGGAACACGGGGCTCTCAGTGATGTGTCTGCCCTGACGCTTTCCCTATTTGGATCCAGGACATTCTTGAGCTGCCATTAAGGAAGAACCAAAAAGATCCCCTTGCTGCCTTGGCAGCTTCAAGTTTCCAGAAACATCTATCTGAAAGTCTTGGGGGGGCAACAAGTGAGGAAAATGGCAGCCACCAATCACCAGCCCCAGACCCTCCCCCTGAAGCTCAGCTCCCTTCCCTGAGGACAGGTTGCAAACTGACTGAGTCAGCCCTTGGGGGAAATGTGAGGCTGGCAGGAAGGCCTTGCCCAAGCCCAGGAGGTGCCCTCTCACTCTCGCCTTGTGGACTGAGCACCGTGAATCAATCCACTATTCGGGGGCTGGTTTTGATCGGCTGCTCTTTCCATTTTGTGGTGATGAGCTATCGACTACAGAAACTCTGTGATCAGTGGCGAATCTCAGCTTGGCTGCGTCACCCACATCTCAAGCCATCCGACAAGTGCTGGGGGTGTAGCTCGGTGATAGGGAGCCCTCAGGCTCAATGCCCAGGACATCCACAGGGAAAAACCTGCAGCTCCATGGAACATGGCCTATGTTCCTTCCCTTGGAAAGCATGTTGCCCATTTTACATTTTATGAAGTCTCTGCTGGATGTCTGTCATCCATGGATTTGTTGCCTGATCTTGTCATGTTATCAGGTTCCATAAAGAGGGAGAGTCAGCATCGTGGCCATCCAAGCTGCACTGACGTCTAATAAATGAGCCCCCAAGAAAGGGCAGCGTCTACTTCCCCAGGGCCCTCAACACCTCTGAGGTCTTCCTCAGCAGACTCCATCTGGTTGTCAGATCCCACAGGAGCCAATCAATTGTGGAGTGGCTGAACGTCTTGTAGGATTTTGCAAGGTCAGACCAGATGATACCAGAGAGCCCCTGGGCTCCAGGCAAGGTGGGATGGGGTCCATGGCATACCCACAAACATGGACAGCTATCAACCAGAGAAGGGAGAGGTTGTCGCAGGAGAAAGGTGTGCACAGACTTTAATCTGTGAATCCTAATGAGCCGTCCCTATGGTGCCCTGCAAATTCCCATGGCAAAGCTGACACTCGGGGGTGCCCAAAGCTGGCCTGACATCTGCCTGTGGCCTCCTTGCTCTTTGAGAGTGTCATTCTTTCTGCCTCGTCTGTCTTTCTTTTGAGAAGGATCGTTCACTCTTGCATCTCCATTTCCTTTTGCTCCCTCTTAAACTCTCGGGCCAGCTGGACTCCAAGAGGGGAGACTCTGCCTCCATACAGCTCTGACTTACCCCCTTCATAAGCTGTAATTAGATACTTAACCATTTAGTTGTCTAGTAATATTTGCTGTCCTCAAATGCCACGATTATTATAGCACCCAGAGGCACGTGTGCAAGGCTCACTACTGTGTCCCTGGCACTTAGCACTGGGTTTAGCAGGTACCATGTTCCCAGAGAAGGTTGGATTATCCAGATTGTGAGCCCCTGAGGCAGCCCAAGGAGGTCAGCCTGAGACACTTTGGAGCAAGGATTATAAGCTGGCCATGCAGAATCCGATGAAGCTCAAAACATCTCACCTGAATTATTGTGCTGTATGTGCTGCCACTACAGAGGTTCTCAAGTAAATGCTTATTTTTCCAAGTCCTGGCTGGGCTCCTGAGACGGCTTTGCTTTCCTGGTGAAGGAGACATATATCACAAGAGTTCCCCCTTGTCTCTCAGTTCCCTGATGGAACAAGGTTATAAAGGTTGGAATGACAGCAGCCATTCTGTGACCCTAAACCAAAGCCATACCTACTGCTTTAAAAAAAATAATTAAAAATCAGGAACAGGGGCCTGCAGCTGCTTACCTCCAGATCTTGCTTAGTGTGAAGAAGCAGCACCGTCTGTGTGGGCTCCTGGGGTTTCTGTCATATGTAGTCATAGCCTGTCTACCGAGTGACCAGCATGTGTTAGGTTAAGATATAAAAGTGCTCTGGGTCTCATCTCTCCAGCCATGAAATTAAAAATAGGATCTGGGATCTGTCACGCCCCACAGCACTAAGATGGATTCTAAAGCAATTCAGTCTCGAATCTGGCACCTGGAGGAGGGAGGAGGGAGAGCCGGCGAGAACACAGAGCCGGTGTTGCTTTAGTTTGTGAGCTGGTCTCACAAGAAGTGAGTCTGTCGTTTCCTCTCACCTACCTGTGTTCTTATGAATAGCTCAGCTGCTGCAAGGAGGCCCTCGAAAAGATGTGACATTCATGTGATGCCACCTTCTTACAAGGCCAGGCAGCCAGTTGCTCCTTCAAGCCTGACATTAATTATGTCACTCACTGATGTCTACATCCTGATCTGCCAATTCTCTCATGTCAATTCAATTTCTTTAAAATAAAAAAAAATGAGTAAAGAACAATGTTTCTCTTTTCTATGAGAATATATAATTAACTCCCAAAATAGCTGTCCTTTATCCCTTTACAGAACTTTTTTAAAGTCTCCGGGAAGTCAGTGGTACCCCACCTCTGCTCAGCCTTTCTAGCGTGGCTAATGAGCACAGCATGGGCCATGTGCCCTCGGAAGCTCCGCACCCTCCAGCCTGAGAGTGACAGCTGTATTTTCAACTGACCTCCACACCTGTGATCACCAAGCAGACTCAGGTTCCGAGAGTTAGTTGCTTGCAGAAGTAAAAACTGAGCTGGATTTACCCTATGCACATACTCACGCGAGCTGCCGGGCTTCACAGCTCTGTCAGACACAGCAATGCATTCTGGGCTGATACATAAAACTCCTGACACAGTAGCCATTGCCTGTGAAATTGACACACAGATGGCACATGAGCACAACTTTGCTTCTGCCCCACCGTCTGCAATTCGTACAGTCAGAAAATCCTATTAGGGGCTTTATTAAGCTGCTCAGTGATGGAGATGGGGAGAGTGGATCTTATGGACTGAGCTGTGCAAGCCGCCCCCAGGAACAGGGCCGTCCAGCTCCACGTGCTTCTTATTCTGCATTATGAAGCACCAAAATTAAGTTATTGAATTTCTGCTTAAAAAAAAAAATAAAAAGGAGATGTCTGCCCGACTCATTATCTATCAAGCCACAAATGATCTCCTTTTCATTCATCCCAACATGTCATTATACCCGGCTAGTGAGCTCCAAGATACAGATGCACGTCAACCAAATAAAACTCAAAAATACTCCAAGCAGGGGTTAGGAAAGACCAGGAGAAAGGGGGGGGGGGCTTCAAAGGAAGAGCTGCCCTGGAAGCCTTAAAAAGAGACCCCAGAAAAGCGGTAGTAAAGTAATTGCTCTCTCTCTCTCTCTCTCTCCCTCTCTCTCTCTCTCTCTCTCTCTCTCTCTCTCACACACACACACACACACACACACACACACACACAG